CTTATTTTTGATAAGAGAACGGCAGAGGGGCAGAGAGAGAGGGAGAGAGAGAGAGAATTCTAAGCAGTCTCCAGGCTCTGTGCCATCAGCGCAGAGCCCTACGCGGGGCTCGAACTCACAAACCGTGAGATCATGACCTGAGCTGAAACCAAGAGTTGGATGCCTAACCAAATGAGCCACCCAGGCGCCCCCATATGGTAATCTCATTTCCATTTAAGCTTAATCTTGCTTGTGTGTGAAGCTTGCTTGATATGCATGAAACATTCCCCTTTTCAAATGCTCATCTTCCAAAGTGCATCTTTGCAAAGTTGCTTAAACATGTGAGGGCTTATTTTTCTCACACGACAGGAATACAGCGTGGATGTTTGCTGCGGCTGGGTCAGGGGTTTGAGGCTTTCAGGGCTGTGGTTGCTGATATTCTCTCAGCCTGCTCTTCATGGTCCCAGCATGGCTACTATAACTCTAGCCGTCCTGTTGGACTTCCAGGCAGAAAAGTGCGTTCTTTGTTTATTTAAAACAAAAACAAAAAAAGGACAAAATGGCGTACCTCCCCCTGAATCAGGTTCCTTTAGAGAACTTGCCCAGATACCCCACAGTATAATATACTGTTATTGACTGTTCCTCTTCAGTGGAGGCTGAAGAAAAAAGCTTTTAGAGGGGCATATTTCTGCCACCAACAATGTAGGGGTTCGCTTGGTAAAGAAGGAAGGGAGGATGGATGTTGGAAAGCAACTGGCCGTCTCTATCAGAGCCATAGATGAAGTCCTTACGTACCGGGTCTGTTGCTGACTTTCAGCTCACTGATCTGTGTCTGTTCTGGTACCAGCACCCGACTGTTCTGATGATTGTAACATTATAATCCGTGTGCACATCTGAAGAGGCTGGTTCTTACTTTTGCATTCTGTACCGTTGGCATGTAAGTTTGCTTAGGTGGTTTTTCACTAAAGTCTTCGACTTCTTTATTACATTAATCCAAAATCTAAACCTTCGTATTGAGGGACCTGTTATCTTCATTAAAACCATTGCTAGAATACATCCTTGTAGCAGATGCCAACTGGAGAGCTTCCTGGAGTAATTTCTAGATTTGACTTTCTGGGGACACTTTCCACGAAATCCTGCTTTGAAAATTCCTATTTGGGCAGAAGTTTTTCGAGCACTGCTGATTGTATTTGTTCCACCGGTTTATCTTAATTTTAAATTCCTGGGCCTTAACTTTGTGGCATCTATAGGCACACAAGCTCTCAGGGCAATATGTACATTGTAAACCGAGAACACAGATCTTACGGAATGGTAGAGTCAGGCCAGAGTAGCTGGCCTTGAATTTTTTAGTGGAAGTAGAGAAGTGTACTGAAGTCTCCAACTCAGCCCCCCACCGCATCAACAAAACCCAGCAAACAAAGGCGCTCTTCTGAAGATGTAAAATTGAGTGTGTCCAATCCATTCGTAGACAGTGTGGCCTGGCCTTAAGCCATCCCTGCCATCCATATTCTTCATTCACATCTGTTTATCCCCACGCTGCCTCTGTGATGTGGTGACGAACATTAAAGATTCTACTTCAAGTGCACACATGGAAATCAGAGTAGCTGTATCTCTTCTGCTGCTACCTCTGAGGAATTCATTTTGGCCAGTATAAAATATGAAGTTAGCCGTACAATAGCAAATAAGTGCTTCTAGAAATTTCGGGGTGGGCGGTGAATTATATACCATGCAGGCCTTGGGTGGGGAAAGAGTTTTTTTCTCTTTCTAGCACACTAAACATACAGTTAAAAAAAAGACACCGGTGTCTTTCAATTCAGTTCTTCTTTGTAGAAAAAGAAACCGAGATATACTCAATCCACATTTTACATCTAGAATATTAAATATATTTTTGTTCTGTATTGTGTCCAGCTAAGTGTGGAAGGCAGAGAAGAGAAGGAGAATCTAAGAAAGAATGTAAGATTGGGGTTTATAAAGCTTGAGAGGCAAAGTTCAAGTACATCAATTAACCTCTTTTTTGTTATCTTTTGTATCTGCAAAGGAAGTAACATTTCATTTAAGCTGTTTCCATCCAAGCTAAAATTTAAGAGCATAGATATTTTTGAAATCCACCTTTCCTTTTTTGTTTTTGTTTTCCTGTAGAAAAAAGCTCTTAATGTTTTGCAACATAATGAGGGTCACAAACCGTTAAAAAATAAACACTTCATTCAGTAGTATCATTTATGGCCCTTTAGATTTCCTGCTAAAGACTTAGCCCTGTGGTTTTGCCCAATAAGATACACAAACAGGGGTACATGGGGGGCACTTGGGTGGTTCAGTCAGTTAAGCGTCCAACTTGGGCTCAGTTCGTGAGCTCACGGTTTGGGGGTTTAAGCCCTGCATCAGGCTCTGTCCTGACAGCCTGGAGCCTGCTGCAGATTCTGTGTCTCCCTCTCTTCTCTCTGCCCCTCCCCTGCTTGTGCGCTCTCTCTCTCTCTCTCTCTCTCTTTCAAAAATAAATAAACATAAAAAAACAAAAACAAAAACGGGTGCCTGGGTGGCTCCTTCGGTTAAGTGTCCAACTCTTGATTACAGCTCAGGTCATGATTTCACGGATTCTTGGTATAGAGCCCAACAGGGCTCTGTGCTGACAGTGTGGAGCCTGTTCAGGATTCTCTCTCTCCCTCTCCCTCTGCTCCTACCCTCCTTTCACTCTCTCTCCCTCAAACAACAACAACAACAAAGCAAAAAAACCCATATACAACCAGCTTTTGATGTTTGTCCTGTGAACCAAAGGCAACGAAGCCAGAGCAAAGTTGGCCACCTCCCAGTTTTTGTGACTATAAAAAACCTGGCTGAATTCGGCACTTCTTTCGCTCCATTGCTGCAGTCCAGATTTCAGATGACCTTGAGGGACCACCGTCCGGTAAATACATCCTGACGTGGGTTGTTCGTTCTTCGCGCCCCCCCCCCCCGAAACTAAGGGGCTCCGCTTAAGTTACTGGTTGAAAGGATTATCAAGAGGTGGTTGACAAACTGATGTTCACGCCCAGCATTTCCATCCAGACCTTTACTCTCAAAGGTGGTGACCACAGTGTTTGCACTTGGAGGCCAAGCGCTGGGCCTGTGGAGGAAGCTGTCAGTTGTGCCACGTTCTGCCGGCACCCCCACCACATCCCCTTTGGATGAGGGGCGTCCCGCTTTCCTGCACCGAGACCGTGTTGACCCTCTGAGCCCCTGAGCACTGGTAGAGGCCCTCGTTGAGGCTCTTGTGTGCTCCCACTGCTGTAGAGTCCTCGGTGCTGCTTTGCTTGTGATGTGGTCCTTAGGGATGGCTTTGCCAAGCAGGGACGCTCGAACGGGTCACTGCAGCTTTGTACTGTCTGGAGAAGCATTGCCCCTGAACATACTGAATGGAGGGGAAAATTGTATAGCGTCTGCCATCCGTAGTTACAGAAACTGGTTAGCTGAACGTGACTGAGCAGAACTGGCAACATGTGTCTCCCTAGGTATCTTTATTTTTTTATGAATAATAATTGCATACATTTTTAATGCAGAAATCTAAACTTTTCAGAAGGCATGTAATACAGCAACGTTTGAATATTTGCCAAAAATCCTAGTGGAAAAGCACAAAAATGACATAATATCATCTAAAAGATAAGGAATTCTTTGGTTATCAGTCTTTCGAAAGATAATGAGCAGGCGGAAGGGAAAAAAAATAAAAACCTCTAACGATTAACTAGAGTAACTATGTTCCTGTCTTTCAAGATCTAAGACAGGTGTATGTCTTTAGGAACAATATATATACCAGACAGTGACAAAAAAGACCGTTGTCAGGGAGTGAAAAACAAAAAATAATTAGAATGTCAGAATGAAGGAAGCAATGCATGTGCTGTTTTAGAAAAATAAAACTAGGGGCCCTAGGGTGGCTCAGTCGGTTAAGTGTCCAACTTTGGCTCAGGTCTTGATCTCACAGTCTGTGAATCCAAGCCCCACGTCAGGCTCTGTGTTGACAGCTCTGAGCCTGGAGTCTGCATGGGATTCTGTGTCTCCGTCTCTCCACCCCTCCCCTGCTCATGCTTTCTCTCTCTCCCTCTCTCTCTCTCTCTCTCTCTCTCTCTCTCAGAAATAAATAAACATTAAAAAAATTTTTAGAAAAACAAAACTAAACCACAGCATACAGACTCATTCCTGGTTTTCCCAAGAAACCATTCCTCTTGTAGAGGTCCTGGTAACCAACATTTGCATACCAAAGTTGCTTTCTGTAGCCCTTTGACTTGCCTGTGTCATAGGACCTTCATGATCGCATTGCTGCATAGAAAACCATTATTCCATTTAACACATGGGAAGTAAAGACTTACCCAAGATTAAATGACCTGCCAGGGTGACTTGAGTTTTTGATGGCACAGCCCAGACTACAACTTGGATCTTCTGACTTTGTCCCACCGAGCAACTATTCTGTGCCAGTTAGGTATGTTCCAGGGGCTGGAGGTAGAGCCGGAACAAGGTCTGTCTGGGAGACAGACATAAACAATCAAACAAAGTAACCGCTGCTGTGGCAAGTGCTTGGAAGAAAACAAGGAGTGCAAGAGGCAGGAGAAAGACTGGAGAAGGGTGATCGGAGACAACCCAAGGAAAGGATATTTCTATTCTAGCTTGAAGGCCAGAGGTGCCTGGGTGGCTTAGTTGGTTAAGCATTCAACTTCGGCTCAGGTTGTGATCTCGTGGTTTGTGGGTTCAAGCCCTGCATCAGGCTCTGTGCTGACAGTTCAGAGCTTGGAGCCTGGAGCCTGCTTTGGATTCTGTGTTTCCCCCTCTCTCTCTGCCCTCCCCCTGCTCACTCTCTTTCTCTCTCAAAAATAAATAAACATTTTTTAAAAATAGCTTGAAGGACAGAAGGGAGCCAGTAACCCCGGGATCCAGAGAAAAATTGTCTGAACATGGGGACAGCAAGTGCAGGGGTCCTGAGGCAGGAGACTAGTGTTCTAGAAATTTTTTTTTTTTTTAAGTTTATTTATTTAGTTTGAGAGAGAGAGTACATGCATGTGGGGGAGGGGCAAAGGGAGAAAGAATCCCAAGCAGGCTCCACATTGTCAGTGCCGAGCTGGAAGCAGGGCTCTGTTTTGCTACCAAAACTTAGAAGGCAAGTGTTGCTTAGAGTAGAATCAGCAAGAAAAGCAGAATAGGATGAAGTTGGAGAGGAAGGTAGGGACAGGAACTGGCTAGGCCTTGGGGCCATAGAAAGGATTTCTGATTTTATTCTAAGTGCAACAGAAATCCCAGTGAAGGGTTTGAAGTGTAGGGAGTGGGACTAGGGAGCAGGAGTGGTCTGATTTATGTATTTAAATGATCATTTTGGCAACAGTACAGAGGATGGATTAGAGGGACTTTCCAGGGAGGCTAGTGAGGAAGTTATTTCCTTTAGAGGCAAGAGTGGATGGTAACTTGGCCTACGGTGGAGTGGAAAGGTGTGGATGGATTCAAAACACATTTAGAACCAACAGGGTTCTCCTCCAAGAGACTGGAGAGGCGGCTGGCCTTGTGGTTGACAG